CCCCAAAACCCCAAAACCCCAAAACCCCGTAAGCTGAAATAATTATTGAATTTCATTTTTTAAATTTCAAATTTTAATGATAACTTAAGGCAATGGCCATTAGGCTTCACTAGATGAGGAATCAAACAAGTGACTGTTTATGCTTGAAATTTCCTCATTGGGTCGACTCTAGAGTGAGGTTTAGACAATAATATTAGAGAAATATGAGAAAATTATGAGGAAAGAAAGAATTTATGCTTTAATTGAGGGGTTCTCGATCACTTCCGGAGTTGGTCTAGGCTTTTTACAAGAGAATAAAAGCTTTCTAAGAAAATATCTTACTGTTATTATATAATCCTCCTTTGTTTCTTCTTTTGGAGGATTTCTGGCATCTTTGATAAATTTTTCTACAGAATTATAGATAACATACCTTGAGCATTATTGTTTTTCTTATGTCTCTTCCTTTGATTTGAACTTGCTTGAGATGGGTTATGTATTTTCTTCTCTTCGCTTTCAGACTTTTCATCTAATTGATAAATTCCAGATCTATTGTTTGACTCCCTTATTTTTTCTTCTTCTATTTCACCATCATAATTAGAAAGCATCCTTTTTATTTTTTCCTTTATCTTATTCTCAGCTTTCGGAGCTTCTCTCTTGACTATACTCTGAAAAGAATCAAATAAACCCTTTATAGTCGTATCTTGGCCTAATTTAAACTTAAATCCTTCGATATTATTCTTCGTGAGATATCTGTTCACTCTCCAGTTGTTCAGGTATGAACTGAAATAATGGAACACAGAAAAGAAGAATTTGAAGAAAATTACTCAGGCTAATACCCCTGTTATTAAGCCAAGGTAATAATCGTGGTTATCACGAGAAAGGACCACCACAATCCACCCTGCAATAGCATTAGCAAAGACCCAGAAAATAAGGAACTTTGATCGGAAGTTTTGATAGTCATTCGACATATTGAGCTTCTTTAGTACGGAAGTAGTAGCATCTGCTCCCTTTGGTCTAGTTCCCCAAGAGATATCGTGGATGTTAGAGATAGAGTAGATAATGATAATGTTAATATAGCTTGGAACCAAGAAATATGAGTAACACACTCCTTTTATGAAGTCAAATATTTTTAACTGCCTGCAATTCATAAACATGGGGATGAATATAGATAGTACTCCAACAGCTATTAATGACAAACTAATTACGTTTATATTTTGCTGAATTGTTCCGGCTACAAGTGCGAACAGCATCAAAATTGAGAAACATCCCATAATAACAGATAAGATTCTGAAATGCATCTCTGCCCATTGAATTTTAATAGCTGTACTAACGATAAAACAGAAAAATAAGAGAGTTAAATAGATATTTTCAAGGATATTAGCAGGATCTGAATAACTAATACAATTGCTTGAAGGTAGCACAGATCTTAGGAATATACTTAGTGCAGCATAATACAGACCAACTAGTATAAAGCCAAGGCATACATTAGAGAGCATGTATAAATACAAAAACATAAATCCAATGTTTCTACATTGAGAATTTCTCCTCTGCCAAGTTCTACACAAATTTTTGAGGACATGAAAAGATGCAAATGTTGAGCCATTGAACCATCTTCTTCTTTGCTTGATCAAATTACTCAGAGAGTCAGGAGCATCAGTAAGAGCTATACAGCCAGGAATATATTTCAGAATATAATTCTTATTCTTCTTTGAAATAATCTCCAATCACATTATTCTATCTTCTGCAAGATATTGGTTGGCAAAGTATCAGGAAGGATGGGATTTTTCTTTTGGATCAGTCAAAGTTCTACCCTTCAAGAAACATTCTAAAGGTTCTCCTTCGATGGCATTCCATCTAAAGCACGAGAAAGCTCCAGGGAGGACAGATACAAACCCAAAGAAAGATTCAGCAGCTTTGTCAATGTAATGGCTGAGCTTATACTCAACATACTGTGCTCTAAGGATAATACTCTTTACGAAAGTAACAGGTCTTCAATCGTTATTAAAATTTGGAAGTATGACTTCAATCTCACCTCATGCTCCTCCAATCTTCTTATTGGATTCCATGAGTAATGTTATCTTAGATAAAGAATTTGGAGTCGCGATTGTTCCTGTATCAATAATGTGGCAATATGTTGGGTTCAATAACTGACAAAATCCTTTAAAATACCAGAGATGAGATTCTATTTTTCCTTTATTGAAGTGCTTTACAGCAAAGTGTATGTCTAAAGGGAGAGACGAAAATATCCTTTTATCAGCTTCGTTCTGGGCGATATTCCCATAAAGATATTCAAAAGGATGATACTTATCAATCCTCATAGACTTTTGTGTCTCTTCATCTAGTCCTTGGAAGAACTCCTCCAAAGTCATGTATCTTGAAAATCAATGAAGAAGGTTTTCAGTCTCAAAATGCATGTTAAGAACTTTTTCAAACTCTTTATCCTTTTCTTCATCAATATCTCCATTTTCTTGCTTAATGTTAGTAATTTTAGACATGAAATCAAGAGATACTGGATCTTTCAAAACCTTTGTTTCATTCTTCTGAATAGTAAGGAATCTATAATTTGTATAGTAGAGGCTTACTTTTTAGCGATTTTTGTTTCGTCATAGATCCCTGCTCTAGTCAGCTGGTCTGCAAGTCGGAACTCTTCAGGGCTATTATCTGCTTTATTCTGAGCAGTGTTTACTTTCTTCTTAGTCACCACAGAGTCAAATGTGTCAAATCCATCTGAGATAATCACTACCGAAACATCACCTTTGAATAATTTGTTTCTCTGGCATAGTTCATAGTAGTTTCTGTAGACTCCAACTAAGCTTTCGACTAACTGGGAAAACTCTTCATTAAAATGAGTAATGCAGATCATAAGTTTTACTCCCTCTTCTAGTTGCTCCTTCAGAATAGGAATGGGCTGATCAGATTGCCTTCTTTGTCTAATTTTTGGGACCTTCATGTCTATAATCTTTCTTAACTCTCTAGGTTCTGTTTCTCAGCTAAGAGGGTTGCCAAGGTATTCTCTGAGTGAAAATCCTGTAACTTTATTTAACCTTAATTTTTCCATCCTTGTCTTGATACTTTACCTTCTTTCTGAGTTTGAGTAAGACTAATGGGTGGTATTCCAACATTCTAAGAAAGGGTGAGGCAAGACTTACGTGGTGTTTTCTAATAAGTTTGATCCTAGATCAATTAAATCTTCATGTGTGTTCGTATCATTATCTTGTCTTGAAATATCACTGACCTAAATTTATCATAAAAATTTGAGTAAGATTTTGTTTAAGTTTAAACAAAAGTTTGATTGAAATTTGAACTGGATATTTCGAACCAAATCTTGGATAAATTATTTTGACAGATCTACGCAAAGCCTTAATGAACTTGGAGATGTTTATTCAGACTTACTTGGTTGATTTTAGGTAGTTTTACCATACTCTTATTGTATCCTAGCCATATTAGAGTGAGTTTTGAGATATATTATTTGAATAAATTTTTCAAATCAAAATTTGTTTAAATTTTGTCAGAAGTGTGCAGAAAAATGTAGGCATCAATAATCCGCTCAACTCGAGACTACCCAACTAATAACCCCTCACCCATCCACCCCTCACACAAATCCATCTCTACTGCCCCCAAAAGTCATGATTTCACTTACCAAAATCCCTTCTTAACAAAAATAATGACAAATATTTCAATTATTTTTTTAAAAAACGGGGTTTTGGGGTTTTGGGGTTTTGGGGTTTTGGGGTTTTGGGG